CAGAAGCGCTTTTCTGCTGTATTCTCTGAATTCCAAAGGCACTTGGAATCTATACGCACTTCATTTACCATACAAGGGTTTCTGAGACCCCAGCCTGGAAGCTTTATATTTTTCTCGAGATTTTTTTTTCTGCTTTAACACATTGAGGTACAGACACTCCCATCAGCTGGGATATCTCAAATTAGTTTCTAACTTCTGAATATCAAGTTGTCAATGTCAGGTTTCCAAAGCTAGTGCTGCCCATGTGCTGCCTTCTTTGTGAGCCAGAAAAGGTGACCCTTCTGGGGGGCAGTGGCAGCCCCGCAGGGGACACGGGGCTCAGTGAGCAGTGTGCAGGCTGGCTTCCAGCCCCGCCCGTCCCCTAGACGGAGGCCCTCCTGCAAGTGAAGTTACACAACCAAAGGCAGGGTCCCGCCTGCTTCCCTCCCTCTCATCCAGCCCCCAGCCCCCAGCCCCTGCAGGGCTGAACCGATTCCCACCTGCAGAGCTGGCCTTCATCCTGACCCAAATCAGGTTCTGTCTATGGACCTTGGGCCTCCCAACCCGCCTGCCTGACTCAGCACCACAGTGTTCTGGGTCTGAGAACTGGGCTCCTGACTGGGGTCTCATGTTAGCTCCCTCGCTATTTTAACCAGGTTTGTGCCCTGCGATGACCAGTTACCATCTCTGAATCTTCAACTCTACGTAGGGTTGAGGTGCTGTTATCCATGGATGAATCTCTTGCTGATGCCAGCCTTCCTGCCTGAAGGAACTCCCGCCCCTGCCCTGGATCCCGTGATGTTAAGGAACCTGCTTAGAAACCCTTATATTCATCTCACAACTAGACCACCTGGGCTGCAGACCTCTTTTGCCATGAACCCTAGGCATGTGCTTGTCTCCCAGGACAAGCCTACTTGCTACCAAGCCTACTTGCTACAGAGTCATTTGCTGGAGACACAGTTGCTGAGCTACTTCTGGGAACTAACCTCTGCCCACATGCCCCTCTGAATTCTGGGACCCACCAGTCCCGGTTCCGCACAGACTCAGACCTATCTCCTGGGCCCTCTTTACCTTCATGGACAGTAACAACTGATATTCAGAGGGGTGACCTGAAGCACTGCAGATTTCATTAGAAAGAAATAAAAATGTTGTTTTAGTTCATATTTTACTTATTAGTGCAGAAAGTAGAAGGAACACCGTTAGAAAGAATGTCAACCACAAAGGTTGAAATACGATGCTTTGATAAAATTCTCACTTAGAAAAGAATGATAAGCACAAGAAGCCGAGGGCTGTGCCTCTTTACTTCAACCACACTAAATTTAAAATGCCCAAGACCGTAACAGGTGCTCGGTTAACACCTGCTGAATGAATGAAAACTTAAGTCAGTCTAAATACAATATTTGATCATGAAAGGTTTCATTAGTTTATGTCGTCACTCATTCATCAGACATATTATTAGTCAGGTGCTGTTTTTTAGTCATTTTGAAGTTTATAATTTTAATACATCAGAATAGAAGATAATAAAAATAAACACACAATAAACATAATAAACATGAAGGACACAGAGGCCAATATTGTGGATCTCACTAGGAAATGTGAGTGAAACATATGTGCCTGCATATGAAATCCTGGCAAGATGGTAATGCATAAGTAGAAATATATTTTACTTTTGGCAATGATAGAGGGTCTTTCTATGACTGGGATACACATGGGACTAAACATAATAATGCTTTATATTGTCAAAATACTTGACAATTTACAAAATGCTCCAACATATGAAATAATATTTGTTGTTCAAAAGAAGACAGAGGAATATAGTTAAAGAAAATTATATCCCTCTCTTATAAGAAATATCCAGTGGCTTATGAAATACAACAGCTTTCAAAGAGATTTCTGCTTTATCATTAACAGTAATGATTCAATGATAGCAGAGGAAGAGGTAGGAAAGGTACGCTCTACAATAAAGAAAAATGGAACGGAAGGAGGCTATAATGGCAACTCCCATTTACTGTGATGAAGACAGACTTCTATTATTCCACCTGGGACAGTTCTACAATGCAGTTCTAAGAGATAAGTAATGCGATGCTGAAGTGAGTAATGAGACTCACTGAGGAGGAATTATTACATGCTTTCCATTTATGTTGCACTGTATTGATTGTAGCGCACATCGAAGCAGCTCTAACTCTGGGAACCCAGAGAAACTATTGGGAAGAATTCAAGAGGCAAACTGGGGATGCAAATTCCACGTGGGTTCTCGGCCAGCCCAGTGTCCTTTCTTACAACCAATCAAAATTATACCTATTTTTTTGTTCATAATTCAATGTAAAGTCTGGTAGGTCTTTTCTTCTATGCACACAATTAGTCAATAACTTGGAAAGGTCTCTGCACTTTATTTTTGATAACTATTTTGTATCAAGCAACAGGGAGAAGAATGACCAGTATGTGTGTGACTCTTGTCAGATTTTAAAAATAATTCAGCCTCATAATTTAAGCAGAGAGAAACTGAAGCTTCAAAAAATGTTTTAAAAATAGGTGGAAGAAAAGTCCATCAGTGTTTGGAATTAGCTAGACTGAGGACTACTCAAATTCTGCTCAGCTGGTATGAGCATTGGTTGAGCATTGACCTGTGAACAGGTCACAGAGGGCCATGTAGGAGGCAGTTGATCAATGATTCTCATCATTGATGTTTCTATCTCTCTCTGCCTCTCCCTTCCTCTCTGAAATCAACAAAAATATTTTTAAAAAATTATAGGAACTTGAACTAGCAGATTTCTAGCTGTCAAAATTGAAATCAAATCTGCAGGGGCCAAAATCTATACTAATAAAAGGATAATATGCTAATTAGACCAGATAGACCAGACATCCTTCCAGACAAAGCCACGGTGGTGGGGGCTGAGGCAGAGGTGGTTAGGGGTGATCAGGCAGGCAGGCAGGTGAGTGGTTAAGAGCCAGCAGGATTGGGCCTAAACCAGCAGTCGGACATCCCCCGAGGGGTCCCGGATTGGAGAGGGTGTAGGCTGGGCTGAGGGACCCCCCACACCCATGCACGAATTTTGTGCACCAGGCCTCTACTGTTGCAAATAAGAATGTAGTCAGATGCATCACTGGTGTGAACTTCAGCTGACTAAACACCAAAATGGTCTGTCTCAGAGAAACTTGCTTTCCCAGCAGCCCCTTTGGCTTGCAAGAAATTTCTATTACATTTTCCTAACAGGGGGTCATGCTTCCACTGAAATGACAGTCCTGCTCAAATTGCATGGAGCACCGAAATTCCACAACTTTCTGAGCACTGGTTTCCAAGCTTGGAAATGCTTGTGCAACTGTTTCAGAACCAGCGGCCCTGACTTGAAGAGGCTGCACTCCACATGCTCCCAAGTCACCTGTTTGGAGCTTGTAGCGTACATTTCTATAGAAACCAGTCTCCGTGGGATTTGGGGGCTCCTAAAGCAGGCCAGATCATCACATGGCACCTTATGTACCTACTGTGTGCACTGAAGAAATATGAGACCTGGGGTAACGTCTTTAAAATATGTTTTCTTTAAGCATCCTAATGTGGGATGTCTGGAATGTGGTTCTAATCTCAGGGCCAGGCACTCCCCATCCTTGTGCCTTGCAGGTTTCCCAGGCCCTGGAATCACCATCCCCCAGAACCGAGGACACAGCAGGTGTCAGGAGTCTGGGGCAAGTGAGGAATGGGGCTATAATTTCCCACGAGCACGCCCTGTCCAAGGAGCTCTCAGCCCCTCCTGCTCAGGGTGTGCATCTGAGGAGGATCTTCAAAATGCAAATTGCTTACCTAAGGCAGAGATGACCCATAGGTTTGCTCTAATTGCCTCCTCCACCCTCTGTATTCTGGGAAAGTGGGAAGAAGTAAAACTGTCCTTTACTTTGGGGAGTTAGAAGGAAGGTAGAAATTTGTGGGCTGCATCCCCGAGAATAAAAGCAGGGTTTGTAGTTACTGTCTCAAAATAGAGACAGGCTGTAGAGTACAGGATGCTGCACTCTCCCGAGATTTAAAGATGTTATCATCGCTCTTCTGCTCCTTTCAGTAAATAGCAATAAAATCCTTAAAATAACAAGTTTCCGTGCTTTCTGGGGAGACAGCATAGACAGGGCGAGTGCAGCAGGCTGCGCATTTCCTCTCCGAGCGCTACAGTGGATTCTAAGAGGTTACCCTGTGAGAACGCCGCCGAGAGAAGTCATCCAACTGGACCCAGCAGCCTGCGCCTCACTGGCCACTCACTAGACAGGGGAGTTCCCAGGCCCCACCCTCGCCCAACTGAATCAAACATTCTGGGGGGGAGGCCCACCCTCTATGGTCAACCAGCCCTTCCAGGCGATTCCAATGATGGAGATCCAGCTTGAGGACCACTGGGCAGGGGCAAGGACTCTGACAGAGCTGCTCTGGAGCCCTGGCTCTGCCACTGCACAGCTAAGCGAGCTGAGCAAGTTCATCTCAGCAGCCCTGCGAGGTAGGCACTACCCGTGTGTCTTACAGATGAGGAAACAGGTATACAGAGCCGAAGTAACCCAAATTCACAGAGCTGAGAAGTGGTTTAGGGCCTGAGCCCGGGGTTGAGCTATTAATTTCATTTCATTGATGCAAAAAAAAAAAAAAAAAGAGAGATGCGCTCACTTACTCATTCATCCAATATTTACTTAATATGCACGACCAGGTGATACACTGAGAGGCGAGGAATAGGAAAATGAATAAAGATCTCCATTCCCGTAATACTTTAAGCAATAAAACAATTAAAAAAAAAACTTCATTCCCCTCCCCAAGAAGTTCACGACTTTTCTCTTTTGGTTCAGCATGAAGAAGTGACAGATGGACTCATTTTAAAAGATGATGCTCTGTGTCTGCGTTGGAGGCAGAAAAGATTTTCCGCGACTCCTCGCTTCCATGGCCGTTTACAGAACCCGCCAGCGTCAGCGTCAGCGGTTCCGCTCCCCGCCTGCAGAGCAGGCCAGTCTGAGGCCACCGGCGCTTCCGGGCTGCAGCAGCTCGGCCGGCGCGGTGCGTGCCCTCTCCCCGCGGGGTGGGACCTGCACCCCATCCGCTCCGGTGACCATCCCCTCCCCCTCCCTCCGCGGGACCAGCCGTCCCCGCCTTAGGGACGGAGGCGCACCCCCCGAGGGCTGGTGGGCTGACTCCCCCAGGACGGAACTTGTCACTTACACCTAACGTGCCGACTGTTAGGGAATTTCCCGGGAAAGTGACAGAGAAGAGGCTGAGGCCTGCTCCTTCGCATCTGCCCTGTTAGCGCTGGCCACACCCCCGTGCCGGGCTCGAACCCGGCCGGAAGCGGGCCCCCGCCGCCAGGGCTGGTGGCTGCTGCCCGTGCACCGCGTTAAAGTGCAGCGATCGCCCCGTCGGGGACGCCCGCCGTCCTCCCCGGGAGCCGGCCTTGGCGGACTGCGCCCGGGGCCGGGCTGGGACCCCGCGAGCCGCCCCACTGCTTCCCTCCGGGCGGCGGCGGCCGCGGGGGTTTGGGGACCAATATTCCGGTTGTACAGGGCGGCGGGGCGGAACCTTTCTCCCCCGCCTGCTGTCGCTTCCCCCCGGGCCCAGGTGTCGCCGGACCGGGAGTGGAGGCTTCATTACAAACATGGCTCCTGCGGGCCCTGAGCCTGGGGAGCGGTCCTCCGGGCTGGAGGCTCCGGGACTCGCCGAAGACCGGCTCTTCCTGGTTAAAGGTGGGGTGTGGTGAGCTGCGGGCGTCGGGGCGAGCTCACCCCGGCTCTGCCCGCGCTGCAGCGGGCACTCCCACTGCCACCCGCCCTGGGGGACCTCCGCCTGGGTTTGTCCCTGAGGTTATGGGGTGCGGTGACCCGGGGGAGGTGGCGGGGGGGGCGGGGGGCGGGTGCAGGAGCTGTTCCTGGTGCTGCATCCCCCCATGCCCTTGCAGTTTCTCTGTGCCCTCCTTTTTCTTTTTTAATTCTGTAGAAATAACATTTTCTCCTTTTCATTACATTTATTGGGGTGACATTGGATACTAAAATTATATATTTCAGTTTACATTTCTAATAATACATGATCCGTATATTGCATTATGTGCTCCCCCTTTCTGCGTCTCTTGGTAACCACCATTCTGTTGTCTGTCTCTGAGTTTTTGTTTGTGTGTCTTGTTTGTTCATTTGTGCTTTCAGTTTTATGTCCCGCATATGGATGAAATCATATGGTCCTTGACTTTTCTGCCTGACTTACTGCGCTTAGCACGAGGTTCTCAAGTTGGGTTTGTCCCCTAAAGGGTCCCTGCGCCCATTCCCTGCACTTGGAAATGACATGTCAGTGACCTCGGAGGTCATGAAGTCAGGCAGGTTTCGCAGCCCCTGCCATTTACCTTTGGCAAGAGCTGCTTGACCATTGTTTCTGGAATTTCAAAAGTGACTTGGAATGTAATGTCATTAGCAGCTGAAATTTACCTGTGTACATCCTTTTAACCTCTGGTTTCTTCCCTCCTTTCTTTAATCTCTCTCCCCATCCTCCACGCCTACCCCCAAACTCTTGGCAGGTGGACTTTTCCTAGGTACTGTGGCTGCTGCGGGAATGCTAGCTGGATTCGTTACAACGTTATCTTTGGCTAAAAAGAGAAGCCCTGAGTGGTTCAATAAGGTTTGTGACACTGAAATCCATTCATAGCATTGTTATTGTTTACAAGTAAATGGCAGCCCTATTGCATAGGAAAAATAAAAAATAAAATAAAATAATGCCTTTACAAGTAAACCTATGTACACTTCATAGTTTCAAGAAGTGCACAAATTAATCAACAGTCTTTATTTTCATGTAAAAGGAGGTACTTAAATGTGTGCTTCCTTCACTTTAGCAGAACAAGATTTTGAAAACTCCTCTAGTACATTTTCTGTTCACAACATGACTTTAGCCTAAATCTAGGTAATTCACTGTCAATTGTGAGAGGCCCCAATGTTTTATGTATCACTAAGAAAGAAAAAGTGATGTCAGTTAAACTCTTGACATAATACTGATTGCAAGAGGCATTTCTATCTCGGAGATGTTAAGATGTTGAAGTAAAGTGCATCTTAGCATTGATGGAAAACAGGTCATCTCCTTGAACTGGGAGATCACATGTGCTTGTGCACGGCTGCAGCCCTCCCCTCTGAAAAGCGCCTGGCACACAGTAGGCGCTCAGGACGTTTTGGTTGAATGACTATAACGTGCTTAAGGAAGAAAGTCCTTACTCCAGGAGCAAGATTGAGCAATCACTGTCGTGGTCACGTATAGCTCATTGACCTAGTTGATGAGAAATTTTCTTCACATTTGCTTGTAGTTACTTGTTCTTATGTGTTGCTCTGTGTCTGCCCTCCCCTGTTAACTAGTACTTTTTTGCTTCAGCACATGCAACTCGGGCCCTTTCGTGTGGAGATGAGGGCAGATTGCTTTATCGTAGAGAATGCTAAGGCACGTCCACAAAAAAGTGTAAGTCAGCAAATACTGAGTATCTGCAGAGTCTAGGCACATGCCAGGCACACATGCCTAGCGTAAGCATAACTCCTGTGTGCCGTCAGGAACACTCACAAAATACATGTGTAGAAAAGCCTGTATTAAGAAATGGTGTTGAGCAAGATCAAGAAAATCATTTTTTAAAAAGAAAAAGACAGAATACATTTCCAGGTGGAAGATGAGATGTTACAAATTTGCTATTGTTTATCAGACTAGCTAATTAGCTTGAAAATTAGCTGATGAAAATGCCAGTGAATGGGCATTTTCTCTACTTGTTTGGGGATAGGAGAAATCTTGACACAATGTTCTAGGATTTTTCTGGAAGAATCAATAGGCAAAAACAGCAATGGAATTTTTGAAAAAAAGTAATGAGTATGATGTGCTTTCTGGATATTAAGATTATTTTTTCTATAATTAAATCTGTGTGATTCCGGCATAAAAATAGATGATAAATTAGTGGTACAAAAATAGCTTAGAAATAAACCTGTCTCTATAAAAGATTCTCAAGTAAATTGGGAGAAAAAGGATTAATCAACAGAGTGGGGCAGTTGCTAAGGTTTGGGGAAGTAAACTCCCTTGAGTCATCAGCTCCCATCAAAACCAAAATAAATACCAGATGAACTTAAAAGTTAGTGGTGAAGAGATAATTTAAAAATAAAGCTAACAGAAAAGAGAAATGACTGTAACGGTAGGATAGGGGAAGTTTTAGTGAGCTTCAAAGCATCAGAATGCGCCAAAACCGGTTTGGCTCAGTGGATAGAGCGTCGGCCTGCGGACTGAAAGGTCCCAGGTTCGATTCCGGTCAAGGGCATGTACCTGGGTTGCGGGCACATCCCAGTAGGAGATGTGCAGGAGGCAGCTGATCGATGTTACTCTCTTATCGATGTTTCTAACCCTCTATCTCTCTCCCTTCCTCTCTGTAAAAAATCAATAAAATATATTAAAAAAAAAGCATCAGAATGCATCTTTGACCAAAACCAAAAACTAATAAGCAAAATACAAGGAATGAAAAGTAACCCAAACTGGGAAAATATAATAGCACATATGACGGGTATAAGGGCTGAAGAACATTAATATATAAAGAGAAGATACAAATAAGAAAACTGGGCAAATAACACGAGTATACAATTTAAAAGGCATAAACAGGTGGTTCACAACTTGGGGAAATGTTCATTCTCATGGACATTGGAAAGTAAGTTATAGTTTTACATAAATTTTTAAAATTTCTTTGGGGGTATTTTTGTGTGTGTTTGCTTTTTTTTTTTTTTTTTTTTACATTAATTTCGAACACTCCCCAAATATTCTTTTTTTTAAAATATATATTTTATTGATTTTTTTACAGAAAAGAAGGGAGAGGGATAGAGAGTTAGAAACATCGATGAGAGAGATCGATCAGTTGCCTCCTGCACGCCTCCCAGTGGGGATGTGCCCGCAACCAAGATACATGCCCCTGACCGGAATCGAACCCGGGACCCCTCAGTCCGCAGTCCGACGCTCTATCCACTGAGCCAAAGCGGTTCGGCCCAAATATTTATTCTTTCTGAACTGAGATTTTCACCCCAACTTTCTTGTCTTCATTGCAGGGAAGCACGGCCACCGCGGCGCTGCCGGAGAGCGGGTCTTCCCTGGCCTTGCGAGCCCTGGGCTGGGGCTCTCTGTGTGCATGGTGCGGGGTTGGCGTGATCAGCTTCGCAGTCTGGAAAGCTTTAGGAGTTCACAGCGTAAGTAGCCACGGTCCTTCACTGATATCTGGAATGTTCATTCTACTTCCTGCGGTCCAGATCTTCCTGATTCTCCAAGTCGTATAGTTTGTTCACTGTCTTAGGAAGTGATGACAGCGACGGTGACTACATTCTTATAATGACTAGGCAACTTCTCATTACTAGTAAATGACATAAGTAATTTCAATATTTGAGGGTGGTGAAACTTCAAATGTAATTAAGTAATGACTAATTCATAGCAAAAGTTCATTCCATATAAATTGGTACTATTTGTTCAGTGAATTATTTAACTTGGAACAACTTTCTATGCTGTTTGACATCCTTATATATAAATATTCTTCTAAAATAGTTAAAGCATTGTAAAATTATTATTTAAATTATTAATGCACTTACATATTATGGGAGAAAATCTGAAAAACGTGTGTGTGTGTGTGTGTGTGTGTGTGATTTAGACTCCAAGCTGTGAAGCTATACATTCAGAAGGTTGTCTTATTAAACTACCAGTAGGAAGTTCTGTGGACCACGCTGTCTGTGACAGGCGGGAATGAGGGTGGTGTGGAGCAGGTGGCCGCAGTGGAGTTGATGCAAGTAGGTTCTGGATACATTTCAAAGGTAGAGTCAACAAGGATTTGTTACGGATTGAGTGAGAAAGGTGAGAGAAAAAGTGAAGTCAAGGATGCCCCCACGGTTTGTGGCCTGAGCAACTGGAAAATGGATGGGGATCAGTGTGACAGGAGCAGATGTTGTTGGGGGTGAAGTCAGGAGCTCAGCCTGGGACTTGTCCATGTGAGATGCGATAGCCAAGTAGAAAGTCAAGTAAGCAGTTAGATAAAAAGGCTAGAATTCAGGGAGATGTAAAGGTGAAGACAGAAATTTGAGACTCATCAATCTCAAATAGGTATCTTAAATAGACGGTATTTAAAGCTACAAGACCAGATGACCTCACTACGGCAGTGCATGTAGAGAGGTCCACGGAAGGAACTCCTGGGCAGGCCCAAGTTTAGAGGTTGGGGAATGAGGAAAGTAGCAAATGAGATTTCCCTAGTGAAGAGGTAAGAAAACCAGGAGAATCGTGGCTTGGACGCCAGGTGAAGAAAACCTTTCGGGGGGTGTATGCTGGGGATGTGTCATGTGGTCGTTCACTCAGTTAGCAGATGGCAGTCATTGACGGGTAAAGCCAGAGTGGGGTGGATCCAAAAGAGCATGGAGGAGAGAGATTGGAGGCAGTACATATAAGCAAGTCTTGAGTTTTGCTGTAAAGGGAAAGAAAGTGGGGTCACAGAAGGGAGAGTTGGGGTCAAGAGAGTTTGTGTTTATCTTTAAGTTGGGAGAATTAACAGCATGTCTGCACACCGATGGGAGTGATTCCGTTAGTGGGGGACGGGAGGGGAGAATTGCTGGAGTAATAGATTTGTAGTAGTAGTGCTGGCATTATTGAGTTTTTCACATTTGGCTTAATAGTAACTAAACATGGGCATTATTGTATTTTTCACTCAAAATATACCAGTAGACAAACAGATGTTGCTTTTCTCCTTGTCTGACTAACCTTTATTTTTAAGGTAACTGTGCTGGCAAATTTTCATAGACTGACAAAATTAGGTTATTTAAATTAGATTATGTGCTTGAGAACTTGGGCTTTATGGGCTAGACCAGTGATGGCGAACCTTTTGAGCTCGGCATGTCAGCATTTTGAAAAACCCTAACTTAACTCTGGTGCCGTGTCACATATAGAGATTTTTTGATATTTGCAACCAAGTAAAACAAAGACTTATATTTTTGATATTTATTTTATATATTTAAATGCCATTTAACAAAGAAAAATCAACCAAAAAAAATGAGTTCGCATGTCATCTCTGACACACGTGTCATAGGTTCGCCATCACTGGGCTAGACTGTGCTATTTTAGTGTCTAGAATGTGAACTTATTTGTCCTGATAAGAGGATTATTGCCTAAATTAAATATTTTGGGGAGAAATATTCGTTTCTGATGGGCACATTGAATCTAAGCGTACTTGGAATCCTTTTAAAGTGCATCTTAATGTCTTTAACTAAAAAGAGGCTGCAAGGACACACCCTCCCTCCATGCTGGTCATTGGGCATATTGTTTGATTTTTACTACTGAAAAGTCTCACAGAAAAATGAACCACTGGTACTTTGTCAAGGGTACATCTTTTGAGAGCAGTAGTGCATATTGATGTGTTCTTTCGGAAGGCATTTGTGGGCCTACCCTGAGCCAGGCTCTGTGCTAAGACAGGGCTCCCCAATAGACTTATTATGGACAGCTTAGGCTTTAAAACTTTCTACACAAATTCTTACCAGATGGCTCTGCCCTGAGGCTTGTGGAGAGCAAAGGGCTGCATTTCAGGTCTGCATTTAGAGAGTTTTGATGAGAACTGTGAGGCTGCTCACAAAAAAGTCCGTTGATGAACTTTTCTCACTATTTACTGTCTCTTATTGGGAAATACCCTCTTTCTATGACTAAGGAAAACAGTCTCTGCACTCAGTAAATAACTGAGACGAATGCTCTAGATCAGAGTCAGTTCCAGTGTCAAAGACTTGTTGGTTGCTGCTTCAGTTGTATTAAATCTCCACTGTAGACCCAGTTTTTATAAAAGGGGTGCCATCTAATGGCTGACCCAGAGCAGCTTACATGCCCTATTTTAAGTCACAGCTACATCTGCTGGCCTGAAGGGAACATGACAATGCTTAAAGTGAAGCCCTCCAGCATCTTAGAAATCTTTGCTGTTTATTCATCACTTCATATAGAATATGTATAATATATGAAATATTTATACAAATTTGTATTTTACACAGTGATATATCATTTAATCGGAGGTTTCAGAAAAGGAGGGCTAGTAGAAGCTACTTTGTCAGCAGACTGAAGCAGATAAGTGCACCCAGATTTAAGAAGGGACCCTCCCTCCACCCCACTGAAAAATATATTTTGGACCTATCTTTCTTAAAACAAAAATGGCTTTTTTTTAATGGTAAAAACATGTATTCAATATTTTTAAAAAAGAATTAATGTAGAAAAGTACAAGAAAGGAAATAATTACCAGAACTCTCACTGAGTTGTAATCATCTGTTATAATAGAAACATTATTTCAGACCTTCTTCTATAGGCACATTCACATAATCGTACATAAATGTTTTACTGTACTACTCTGGAACCTTTTTTCACTGATTAGTCATAGGAATTCTCTGCACAGTAAACTTATATAAATCTCCATCACTTTTAATGGCTACATGATACCATATTATGTATTATAATTTACTTAATTAGTCTGTTGCCAACAGCAGTTAGATTGTAATTTTTCACAATTAAACACCATAGTGAACCTCTATAGGCATATATCTCTTTTGTATTTTTCTTGGTCAAGAAATTTGTCCTAAAGACAGAAGTTGTTATTGTTGAATCAGAGTGCATGCTTTTGATACAATTTAGAAGATTTCAACAGTGCATACAAATTTCCTGGCACCCTTGCCACTGGTGGCATCCATGACTCTGAAATGTTTGCCAACCTGATAATCATCTTTCTTCCTTGACTGCATCCCTCCGAAGGCCCTGCCGCTGTAAAGGCTTTTATGGAAATGGTCTGTGACTGGGGCCTTGCCCACTCTTCAGCCCCAGACTTGCCCCCTTATCTGCTGAGGTAGGTTGCTTCTTTCTAAAAGCCCAGGTCTCTTGTTCTTTAAAAAACAAAAAGTAAAACATACCTAGTTTAAATATTTCTCTAAAAAACTGTCATTTAACTTTCCTATTCTAAGAAGATCCTTTAAGACAAGTAACACAAGACCTTTCCTCTAGGACAGGAGTAGCTGCAGGCTAGTAACATTTATTTTCCCCAGCGCTCTTTAGAGCTGCTCCTATGCATACTTTTTATGTTAATATTTAGGCTCACTTACTAATTACTTTATGACTAACCTGACGATTTGGGTAATTATAGTCAAATCTCTTTCTTGTGACTTTGCTAATTTCAGTTTTCCAACATTCTGATGTATCTCCTGCTAGATACATTTATTCTTACATTATTTTAAATGAAGCAGCATTGGAGAGTGAATACTAGAGCGCCACATGTAAAATGAAACTATGGAGAAGCTTAAAAGTGTTGAGCTTCTAATATCTAAGAAGGAAACGGACTTCATGCTGTATACTTTCCATCAGTTTAGGTCAAAGACCAAAAGCTAATCTGAGTCTCCTGCAGATTGTTTAGTGGCAGCCACTCCTGAGTCACCTGCAGAATCTGAAAGGCAGCCGAACATTTCCCTCCACGTCCCTGCCTAATCTCATTTCAGTGCTTCCAAAGATCCGACCAGCCCCTGCCCCCAGGAAGCAAGCTCCAATTTCTTATTCCGATTACCGACGTCAGCAGACCAGCCTTGCTTCCTCCTCCTAATGGAACTTACTGGAAGGCCCAGACACAGTCATCATGATCTCGCAGAGATAGTTCCAGCTGTCAAGCTCTCGGCCTTCAAACAGCGTAAGCGCCAGGAGCATTTCCCTGCAGCCGCTTTCCATTAATGGGGAGTGGCACTGCGCATCAGTTAAACTCAGGGCCGGTGACAAGAACGTCTCTGCGACCCTGCTTCCTGTTCCCCTGCTGCTCTAATGGGCTTGGCGTCCAGTGGTGAGAGCACTCCCAGGGGCAATATGGTGACACAGAGACCGCATCGCAGGGACTTTTGCTCAGTTTAAAAAAGGGAGATAATGACCAATGTACATTTTTTTCCTGGGGGACAGCGGAGACACCAGCTGTTTTGGCCTGTTGCCAAGATAGCTCTTTAAAAACCCACCAGTTTCCTTTTATAAGTAAAATAGGGCCCCAGGCATTTGATAGAGTGAGAATGTGCAACAATTACTAAGAGATAAGCTTTGCTAAGAAAGCCTTCCCCTTCACCCACTTCAAGAATGTTCACAGCTTGTTCCACCTGAGGAGAGCTAGCCTCCTCCTCACTTGCATTTTCTCTTTCTTTGTCCCTATTCTCACACTGAGCATGGAAAATGGGATACAGGTCTCTAACTAAGGCATCCTGAATGCCCGCAGCCTCTGCTTTCCCCTTCAGCATTATTCAAAAGGTACCTGTTACTGGTTCGTCACTTTCAAGTATCGAAAACTATGAAAAAGTTTCATGTATGTTGACATACTCCCATATTTTTATTCATTTGCCCTGTATCAGAAAATGGAAGTGTTCTCTCAGGTTGAATTTTACTGGCTGAAATATTTCTAAATTTAAGAAGAAGGTTTTAAAATGCTGTGTATCTTTCCACAGTGTAAATTGCGCTGTGTCTTGCTGACTCAGTTATATCAGTTATTGTTCGCTTCTGGTGCTAGCAGACTGAGTGTTTACAGTTCTTTATTCTATTGGTCATTTTTCATGACTCTGGTTTGGCTCTCGTTTTCCACTTTGCAGTATCGCACTTATTTCTGAAGCGCTGCTGCTTTCCTTTGCGCACAATATGCTGGGATTCCTGCCTTTACTCTTCTGTCTTCTTCTTTGTGGGTCCCGTCCACTCTGGTGGCTTCGTCCACGTGCAGACAACTGCCAGCCTCCTGCCCAGACTCCTGAGCTCCTGGCTCGGGGGCCTGCTTAAGTGGACACTGATGCTTGGGTGTCCTCCCAGCATCACGTGTGTCCCACCGACTGTCACTTCCTCCCAGCCTACTCCTGGGTCACACTCAGTGCACAGCGGTGTCATGTACAGGCTGCCTACAGAGACAAGCGGATTCTACTCGTGACCACACTCTTTCTCAGTCCTGTCTGACCGGTCACCACGTCTTGCTTCTCCCCTACCCACAGCCATGGCTGGGAGCAGCTTCCTGCCCCTGGTTATCACACCTAATCTCTGTGCTCCCTGCCTCTGCCTCTGCCTCGCCTCTGCAAGCCCCTCTCCACACGGCTGCGGAATGTCCTGGGCTTCCCTTTCCCCCGACTCCCACCTGCATCTGCACCACTCACTGCTGTTCTTCATGTCCTTGCGGGTCACATGTCCACGGGGCTGCCTCCCCCTGTGCTGGGGTCCAACCCCAGCAGGTCCAGGGGTCCCCAAAGGTGTGGACGGAGTCGGCGAAGAAGGAATGACACGGAGACAGCGTTCAGTTGATCAGCAGCCTAGCCAGGATCTCTAGCCAAGTTCTGTTCAGGATCTCCAGCGAAGTTCTGATTAGGATCTCCAGCGAAGTTCTGGTCAGGATCTCCAGCGAAGTTCTGGCTAGGATCTCCAGCCAGGTTCTGTGTCCATGTTCTCTTGCTAGGTTCTCCAGCCAGGTTCTGTAGCCATGTTCCCTCGCTAGGTTCTCCAGCCAGGTTCTGTCACCAGGTTCTAGTCAGGTTCTCTTGCCATGTTCTATCCAGGTTCTGTAGCCAGGTTCTGTCTCTAGGTTCTTCAGCCAGGTTCTCTCGCTAGGTTCTGTCTCTAGGTTCTGTCTCCAGTTTCTGTCCAGGATCTTTTGCCATGTTCTCTCCAGCGAAGTTCTTCTGTCTCTAGGTTCTGTGTAGGTTCTGTGTCTAGGTTCTGTGACCTGTTGTTACATCTGTATTTATACCAGTTGATTCCAATCCTGTCAATCTCTATTCCAAAGGTTAAGGCTTTTCTTATCTCCATTCCAGGGAGTAAAGATTATGTAGCTTAAGCATGATTGTTCGTAGTTAAAGTGATTAATTACCCGCCTGGCACTTAGTTAAGAAGTTTTATTCCCTCCCTAACTTCAGGGGAAAATCCCTACCTGGGGAAACAACCTTTTTCAGAGAGGTGACCTTGGTTAAAACACATAGTGCCAAGAAGGTGAGCAAACATATTAAGAACAGTATGCCATATATGCCAGGTCCCTTGAAACAGCAAGGATGGACCGGCTCCCGGCAAATTCCCCCTTTTTTATTTTTTAAAAGTAGGCATTAAAAAGAAAAACCCCAAATGCTCTCTTGTATCCATTTTAAGAGTAGGATTGGCGCTTTCCACTATTACCTGAGTCCTGATCTATCACCCCAGGGAGAGCTTGCCAATCCTGCACTTTCCTGGGGTGGAAAGGCTGCAGTGGGGTTAAGGATAAGGCTCCTTGGGCCTACCTCCTCCCATGCCTTTACATTTACCTTTCCTTCCTCAGAAAAGCATGGACATACTTCTTGTATAAAACGTTCTGTCTGACTGGGAGTAACCTTAATTCCTCTGCTAGCAAGCATATGTGTTAAAAGATCAATACAGTGTCTTTTTTCTTTAGACTCAGTATGGCACATCTTCTTAATCTAAAGATCAATACAGAGTCTTCTTTCTTTGGACTCAGTATGGCACATCTTCTCAATCTAAGAATCAATACAGAGTCTTCTTTCTTTGGACTCAGTATGGCACATCTTCTCAATCTAAGTTCTGTACTATCCACCTTCTTACCCTACTTATCCTCTATAGGGGTGTCTGCAGTACCCTGGTGGAGTCCTATCCGTCCCGAGTATGGGGTTCTCAATGGGGGGGGGCCTTACCTAGGGGAATCCTGTTCCAGGGGTTCCCAAAGGTGTGGACAGAGTCGGTGAAGACTATCCACCCTCTTCCTACGGTGGAGTCCTATCCGTCCGAGTGTGGGGGGGACTTACCTAAGGGTCCCTGTTTGGGCGCCAGATGCTGGGGTCCAACCCCAGCAGGTCCAGGGGTCCCCAAAGGTGTGGACGGAGTCGGCGAAGAAGGAATGACATGGAGACAGCGTTCAGTTGATCAGCAGCCTAGCCAGGATCTCTAGCCAGGATCCAGGGAAGCTACTGGCATCTAGTGGGTAGAGGCTAAACATCCTACAGGACAGGTCCCCACGAATCACCTGTCCAGGTCAGCAGTTCGGTCGGGAGCCTGGCTGAGCCTCTCGTAAGCCTGTCACACGCAGTCCTCGCAGTGCCGAAGGGCCACGCTCTTCCCAGCCAAGTTCTGGTCTGGCTCTCCAGCCAAGTTCTGTTCAGGATCTCCAGTGAAGTTCTGGTTAGAATCTCTAGCCAGGTTCTGGTTAGGATCTCCAGCCAAGTTCTGGTTTGGTTCTCCAGCCAGGTTCGGTCACCAGGTTCTAGTCAGGTTCTCTTGCCATGTTCTATCCAGGTTCTGTAGGTTCTCCAGCCAGGTTCTATAGCCAGGTTCTGTCCAAGATCTTTTGCCATGTTCTCTCTCTAGGTTCTGTCTCTAGGTTGTGTTGCCAGTTTCTATCCAGGATCTTTTGCCATGTTCTCTCCAGCGAAGTTCTTCTGTCTCTAGGTTCTGTGTAGGTTCTGTGGAGCTGTTGTCTTGTTACATCTGTATTTATACCAATTGATTCCAATCCTATCAATCTCTATTCCAAAGGTTAGGGCGTTTCTTATCTTCATTCCAGGGAGTAAAGATTATGTAGCTTAAGCATGATTGTTCGTAGTTAAAGTGATTAATTACCCGCCTGGCACTTAGTTAAGGGGTTTTATTCCCTCCCTGACTTCAGGGGAAAATCCCTACCGGGGGAAACCACCTTTCTCAGAGAGGTGACCTTGGTTAAAACACAGTGCCAAGAAGGTGAGCAAACATATTAAGAACAGTATGCCATATATGCCAGGTCCCTTGAAACAGCAAGGATGGACCGGCTCCCGGCACCCCTGCCCCCAAGAGAAGGACATTCGGCACTGTCTGGACATGTTTCTGGCTGTCATAACGGCAGGGAAGCTACTGGCATCTAGTGGGTAGAGGCTAAACATCCTACAGGACAGGTCCCCACGAATCACCTGTCCAGATGTCAGCAGTTCGGTCGGGAGCCTGGCTGAGCCTCTCGTAAGCCTGTCACACGCAGTCCTCGCAGTGCCGAAGGGCCACGCTCTTCCCAGCCTCTGAGCCTTGTATTGCTCATCCCCACCCAGAGCACCCCTTCCTCCCCTGCTGCCGGCTCTGTTCTTTGCCTCCCTAGACAGTCTCGAGGCAGGTTAATTTTTAACCTTTACAACATGGAATTAATCCGGTTTGGCATTTGGGACTTCATAAAGGTAACTTCAGTTTCTACCTCAAATTGAAAGTAACAAAGATATTCTTCATGTCAGTTGTTCTAGATCAGGGGTCCTCAAACTACGGCCCGCGGGCCACATGCGGCCCGCCGAAAACATTTATCCGGCCCGCCGGGTGTTTTTGCCGCCACTGCCTGTCCTGCTTAGCAGCCGACTCGTCCCGGGCCCGCAGTGCGCATGTGTGGAATGTCTGAGGGACAGTGAACTGGCCCCCCGTTTAAAAAGTTTGAGGACCTCTGTTCTAGATGAATAAAGCTGTTGTTACCGAGGACTACAGTACTACTTCTATTACTCAATCCACTGGCAGAAAGTAAATGGGGTAATAGAATACCTATGTACTTAAACCCTATAGGTAAAGTTTCTCACTTTTTAGTTATGATTTGGGATGTTTACACACATACTGATGAATTTTAATTTTTCATGTTTTGTGACACATTAAAAATACTTCCCTTTCCTCCTTTTTTATGATTAATACAAGGGGCTCTTTTGCACTGCATCAAAAATTTATGTGTGCGATGATACCTTTAAAGAACAAAAACGAGATTTGGGAAATTATTAGAGCTTGTCTATTTATGTTATACTATTTGAATACTATAAACAGGACATCGACCCTAGTGGTGCTTTTTGATTTGACAGTTTACTTTTATTCTGTTTGTAGCCCTGCTTTTGTCCTTTCCCAGCATTCTCAGTACGGCTACCAAGGAAAATAGTTTCAGGTGCTGGGATTAGTAAAGATCCCTACATAGTATCTATGAGCAATAGGATTACAGCCCTTAATTTGTTTGAAAACTACAATTTACATTTTATGACTTTCAAATCACAAAGAATTTTACAATAATTGTTTATATAATGCCCTACTTACATGCCGGTGAGTTTATAGGCTATTTTAGATCAGCTTGTAATATTAATTAACACTGCTCTCAGTACTTTTTTTTTTTGCAAATTGGGAGTTTTGTGCATAGATTTTTTTTTTAAGTTTTCCAAAGAACAAAATATTTTAAATAACTTTAAAGGTTAAAAATATTCTCTCTGTCATTGCACTTACTTATTCCTAGCACTGTAGACATTTTTTTCTCTTAATCTCCTAATTTTTTGTATGTTCAAACTTGGTAAAGGTAGGTGTCAGCTTTGAAAATAGTTAAGAAATCTTTAGCTCATCGCCGAAACCGGTTTGGCTCAGTGGATAGAGCGTCGGCCTGCGGACTGAAAGGTCCCAGGTTCGATTCCGGTCAAGGGCATGTACCTTGGTTGCGGGCACATCCCCAGTAGGAGATGTGCAGAAGGCGACTGATCGATGTTTCTCTCTCATCGATGTTTCTAACTCTCTCTCTCCCTTCCTCTCTGTAAAAAATCAATAAAATATATTTAAAAAAAAAAAAAAAGAAATCTTTAGCTCATCAATAGCTTCATTTGAAATTTACGCCTCAACCTTGCTAAGAAACCCCAGACACCTGCATGTTTAACGTACTCCTTTCTTCAGTGCCTTTCCATCTCTCACCTTTAGTCTCTAGCCTCACGTCACTCAGTTTTGTAGTTATTCACTTACTCTTCCCTACCACATTGTTACTGTGCTCCTCTGCATGGACCAAGCTCTGTTCTAGAGGACAGGGATATGCTGGTACATAAAAGGTGATCCCTTTTGGATTACACTTAATTGTGTGTGATAAATCCTATCATGGAGAGAGGTACAAAGTGCTTTGGTGGTACAGAATTTTATTTATTTGGTACAGGATTTTATTTTTATTTATTTATTTATTTATTTATTTTATTGCTTAAAGTATTACAAAGAGTATTACATATGTCTCCTTGGTACAGGATATTAAAGAGTCAGTTCTGCTTGGGCATTGTAGAAGAGCTAGGAGAAGATGGAGTATAGATAATCTGCAAATTAGGATAGTTCGACTTTATGGTGGTGCTAAAGTGATAATGCATTCAGTAGAAATGGTACTTCAAATTTTGAATTTTGATCCTTTTCCCGGGCTATGGCTATACAATACTATACTCTCTTGTGATGCTGAACAGTGGCAGTGAGATGACTTTGCCCAGCTGGAACTAATGTATGTGTTCCAGCACGTTTTTGGTGGGCTATTGTCCACTTATATTTTCAACATATAATAAATTTATCAGGACATAACCCCATCCTAAGTCGAGGAGTATCTGTATTTGAACAGGACTCCTCGATAGAAAAAGAGCAGAGGAGATGGGGGTGTCAAGGAGGAAGGAATAGAATGACTTAGTTGTAGTCATTCTTGGTCCAGAGACTTGGTAGTCATCTTTATTTCCTGCTTCATTCCTCCTAACTGGTGTAACCAAAAGTACTGTGGCGTAGTCCTCCCATCAGCTGGAATATTGTGCTGCATTTTGAATAGATCCTTTGAGTTAGGTTTTCCATTCAAAAGGAATAATGAGCCACCTCAGACGGAAGGTCATTAGGGTAGGGAGCTTGCCTGGTTATGTTTGGCTTCCCCCGACTTTGAGTAGACCTAAATCTGCTGTGGAGGTCATGCACATTTCTTCATCTTCCGCAGTTCTTCCCTTCTTATCAAGACTCACTGTACATAAAAAACTGCTTTGTTCGAGGGATTCTATCTTGGAGAGTGTTACTTTTTTCTCAACATTGATTTAGTTATGGTTAAGGGGGAAAACTGAAGAGGCAGCTCTCGTAGAGATTGTATTTCCAAAGAGGTTCACATTCGACAAAGAAAATCACTATAGAAAGAAGCCATCTAGCTAAGAGTCTTTGTGTCCTTGAATTTCATCCTCAAGAACACTTATCTTAGAAAAGACTTGACTGGTCAAAGGCATCATTATAGGAGGAAGGTGGGAACAGGCATTAGGTTAAAACATTTCAAGTTATAACTGGAATAAAAGAAACAATAGCTATCAAAAGTTGGTCTTTTAAAAGGATCACTCTAAAATACTGGCCACCATTAAGGAAAGATCAGTTGAAAATTTTCCAGTTTTTAACTTGAGAAATGGTTGCTATAAATCTAACCACAGTGTGGAGAGAAAGCATATATGTGGTGCTCTTACCATTTCTTGTGCCACAGCTTATTGTGACGGTGCCATTAGAACAGGCTCTCTGGTCCCTGCTCAGGTGCCAGGAGGTCACACTAGAAGAGGTTTGCAGGAACTCTGCTAATTGCCACGCTGTTCCCACCCCTCACCAGCTTTGCTTATTTTTCCTCTCTTCTTGGACTACATTTCAGTGGCAGGAAGAATGAATATAAAATACTCATTTTGCCAAGATTTGGTATTCTAAAACAAAAAATTTTTTCTGACCGAGAGGGAGCTAGCTGCATGTACCAAGAGCACCTTGCTCTCTCCGGAGACGAGCTTTACATGGTCATAATTCTGTTACTAACTGGGGAGAAAGTACCATTTTTATTTGGACTTTGGTCGTTTATTGGGTTTATTAGGATTTATATTTCATCAGATGTAAAGTTTTTTGGCCTGAGAAACTTAAAAGGAAGTTCATGAGAATAACCAGAGGAACACAGTGGAAGGTAGGACAGGCTGCTGCCCTGTGTCCTAGCGGATAGAGTGGACCCTTGAACAACGCAGGTGTGAACTAGGGGGTCAGCTGAGGAAAACCCACAGAGTGGGCACAGTTCAACCGTCGTGCGAGGGTCAGCCACATTTATTTACTGCTTTAATCAGTGATCTCTGTGCATGGGTTAAACTTTGCCACTTTAAGGACATTTAAGGTATGTTTTCATTCTAGTAGAGGCGATACCTTTGTACCTGAGAAATTGTTAATCAGGACCCTCCATCACAAACTGTCCTGTGGCATGAAAAGGAAGTGAGAGCCTCTCCCTGTGAGTTTTGGTTTTGGACCAGCTCATGGTGGTCCCCTTGCCCTGGTTCCCTGTGACTTCCCCACGGCTGGGGATCACGGTCGTGACTGGCATGAAGACGATGGAAACCTTTCCAGAAGGTTCTCAAACTGATGTGACCTGGAAAAGGATCCCCACTTGTGCGTTTGCAAGGAAATGGTGCGGGGGACTGAGACATTGCACAGGCCCTTCCTCTTCCGGCACTTCACAGTCCAGAAAATTCAACCTTGTTTTCATCTGTACTTCAGGAAAGCATTTTTACTTGGCATGCATACTGAAAATACAAAATCTGAGTTGGCCAATTAGACACATTAAATATTGAAGAGAACTGGCGTTTGTAAAACTTGAATTCAAGGAGTATTTTATAGAAATCATTGTGAGGTCTTACAAGCTAGGGCCTGCCTTGTGTAGCCGCAGTAGCCAGCTTGAGGAGGCGTCAACTATCCACAGCCTCCGCAGACACAGGACCACGCCAAGGGGTGTCTAACGGCCACGGCCTCACGCAGGCGCAGTAGCATGCCCAGGGGGTGTCTAACGGCCACGGCCTCCGCAGGCGCAGTAGCACGCCCAGGGGGTGTCTAACGGCCACGGCCTCCGCAGGCGCAGTAGCACGCCCAGGGGGTGTCTAACGGCCACGGCCTCCGCAGGCGCAGTAGCACGCCCAGGGGGTGTCTAACGGCCACGGCCTCCGCAGGCGCAGTAGCACGCCCAGGGGGTGTCTAACGGCCACGGCCTCCGCAGGCGCAGTACCGTCTCAAGGGGGTGTCTAACGGCCACGGCCTCCGCAGGCGCAGTACCATCTCAAGGGGGTGTCTAACGGCCACGGCCTCACGCAGGCGCAGTACCATCTCAAGGGAGTGTCTAACGGCCACGGCCTCGCGCAGGCGCAGTACCGTCTCAAGGGGGTGTCTAACGGCCACGGCCTCACGCAGGCGCAGTACCGTCTCAAGGGGGTGTCTAACGGCCACAGCCTCGCGCACGCGCAGTAGCACGCCCAGGGGGTGTCTAACGGCCACAGCTTCCCCAGGCGCAGCAGCAGGCCGAGGGGGTGGCCAGGATCACAAGCGCCCTTCCTTCAGGCCTCAAACCTTGCCTGCCGCATTCCTCCATCCTCTCCCCTCACCTTGTGAGTGAATGGCCATGGGCTGGGCTGTGGGCGTCTGCTGGGCCAGCCGGAGAGTGGGCGCTGCGAGAGCGCGTTTCCTGAGTGTGGGGATGGCGCCCGGTCCCCGCCAGCCTGCTGGCGTCCCACTCGGGGGTCCTTGCTCTGTTACCCCCGTGTCTAGGATGGCGACTGTCCAGGGTGAGCTTATAAAGAATTTAACTTCAAAGGAGAGCGTACCTCATAATAAGATCTCCATCGTAGGATCCGGGTCGGTTGGCATGGCCTGCGCCATCAGCATCCTGATGCGAGGCCTGAGTGACGAGCTCGCCCTGGTGGATGTGAACGAAGGCAGGCTGAAGGGCGAGACGATGGACCTTCAACACGGCAGTCTTTTCGTGAAAATGCCCAAAATCGTTTCCAGCAAAGATTACCAAGTCACGGCCAACTCCAGCCTGGTGATCATCACGGCGGGTGTGCGCCAGAAAAAGGGAGAGACGCGCCTTGACCTCGTCCAGCGCAACCTGGCCATCTTCAAGCTGATGATTTCTGACATCATGACGCACAGTCCGAACTGCAAGGTGATCATCGTTTCCAACCCGGTGGATATCTTAACTTACGTCACCTGGAAGCTGAGCGGAATTCCCCAGACCCGCGTGATCGGAAGCGGCTGCAATTTGGACACCGCCCGTTTCCGGTATCTGATCGGCCAGAAGCTCGGCATCCACGCCGGAAGCTGCCAGGGGTGGGTGCTGGGTGAGCACGGGGACTCGTGCGTCCCGGTGTGGAGTAGCGTCAACGTCGCGGGCGTCCCGCTGGGGGACCTGAACGCGCAGCTAGGGACCGACCAGGACCCCGAGCGCTGGAAAGATGTCCACAAGGAGGTGGTCTCCAGCCCCTATGAGATCATCAAAATGAAAGGCTACACCTCCTGGGCCATCGGCCTTTCCGTGGCTGACCTGGCGGAAAGTCTTCTGCGGGACCTTCGGAGAGTGCATCCGGTGTCCACCATAGTGAAGGGTCTCTACGGCATCCGCGAGGAGGTGGCCCTCAGTGTCCCCTGTGTCCTGGGCGCGGACGGGATCGCAGGCCTGGTCCAGGTGAAGCTGACCCCCGAGGAGGAGGCCCGCCTGAAGAAGAGCGCGGAGACGCTGTGGGGGATCCTGCGGGCCCTCGAGGTGTGAGCCTCCAGGGAAACACCTGCTGAGGGTGCCCAGGAAGAGACCGTCCCTACGGCCGTCACTTAGAGGCCCACACATAGAGCGAATGACTGCCCTGTTTATTTAGCCCCCAGCTCTGTTGTTTAACTTCCGGTTTTGAGTTTTTTAACAGTCCCTAAGTGAATGCATCAAAGGTTTTTGTTTGTTTTTTCTGCCACTAATACACCAATACTTACCTTGAATTTATATGTAGTTGCCATTTGGTCCAAAAGAATGTGGGGTGTAGGTGTTTATTGTGTTGTAGAAATTTATTCTTTTCATTAAGCACATGTTAATTCTTTCATTCTCACTAGCTTATGTACTATTTTCACATACTATTTTTAAAGTTATAGCTTTCTCTGCAGTGAAAAATAAATGTACAGAAGTACTTTTTGTAATGGAGCCATCTGCTGCCCTCATTCTCCTGTGACAGCCTATCCGCAGGGCCTTTCAAAGGGCGTCATGAAATGGTCCTGCATATTCGCGCGTGCATGTGTGTGCACGCGTGCGCGCAAGTGCTGTGCACTCTCATGCCAGTGAAGTAGGATCATGAGGTTAAACTATGAAAATAATAGTGATGGGGTTGGTAGCTGTTATGAAGTGTTTAATGCAGTAAAATATAAAGCTTTTAAGAAGAGGCTTGACAGTCAGAGGTGGTACAATTAGTCATTTATTTGGCAGAGAAACATTCTAAAATTTTGCAGCTACTAAAAATAAAGCCTGACAAATCATTTCAGAATTGCCTCTGAGAACCTGACCTGTTAGCACCTTAAATCAAGGAGCATGTTATAAATTGTTCTCATTGGGCTGAGTCTTCGCAGCAGCGTGGCCCTGGCCCTAACACTCTCCGGGGTCGTCCCTATTGCTCAGTGTCCTCACATTAACGGAAAGCTTTTGCTTTTGAATTGTGCCCTGTTGTCAATCACTGTCATAAAAATTGGCCATTTCAGTGAGTACTTCAGGGGTTGTATTTTTCAAAAAGTTACACTTTTCATTTTTATTCCTAAATCAATAGACTTTACTACAGATTTTAGACTTTATGCATGTGATACATGAGCATTTAGGAGAAAGTAAAGGGGCTTGTCTGACCTTTACCTAAATGATAGTACTGTAACTTACAAAATAAGAAGTTGAGATTTTTTGTATTCATGTTAGCTTTCCTAATACAATTGGATATTAAATAAATAATATGGTGTATCTTAGGACCCATATGGATATCAGCAGGCCTAATCAAAAGTGAAGAGTACCAGCATCTGCTTTCTACACTAAACCAGTTCTCCTTAGTTGAATTTAATCATGTAGATATAGGACAGTGATCTGCCCCCCAAGATGACTCTACCATCCGAGTTCCCTTACTATTTCATTGACAACATCTAGAAGTGTTCTGATTCCCTAGGAAGCAGTTCTATATAATAAAAGCCTAATATGCTAAGAGTCCCGTTGGCCATTCAACCAATCAAAGCATAATATGCTAATGATGTGGTAAGGCTGCTCAACCACTCACTATGACGTGCACTGACCACCAGGGGGCAGACGCTCTGACTGGTAGGTTAGCTTGCTGCTGGAGTCTGGCCAATTAGGACTGAGCAAGACGGGCCGGACACGCCCTAGAGCCCTCCAGAGGCCCCTCCCCAGCTGGCCAACCTCCCGCATCCCTTCCCAGCTCCGATTGTGCACCGATGGGGTCCCTTGGCCTGGCCTGTGCCCTCTCACAATCTGGGACCCCTTGGGGGATGTCAAAGAGCCAGTTTTGGCCCGATCTTGCAGGCTAGGCCGAGGGACCTCACTGGTGCACAAATTCGCGCACCAGGCCTCTAGTATCATATCATGGGACTGATTGATGTACTGAGCACCCTGAAGGTGGGTAGGATGTGGGTTCATTTGTTCCAGATAATTTCTTTAAGCTTAACTGCACAGTTTCTCCCCTCCTTGGTCCAGGCCTTGTTTCAGCCATGTTTCAGCTAATGTTAATGTTTTATTGAACAGCATCAGAGCATGTCTCGTATCTATTTTATAATTCTCTTCATCATTAATGTCAGGATATGTTGGGTTATGCTGCACTAAAAAACAATCTCCAAGTGTGCAGCTTAAAAGTTTATTTCTGTCTCGTATAAAATCCACTGTTGGTTTACCCGACTCTAGGGAAGCTGGCCTCCATAAGCTGGCTTAGTATCTCAGATTGCCTTGACTTCCATGCTTGCTACGGAAAGGGAAGAGAGGCCTGGAGAATCAAACACCTGTAGTTAAATGCTTCATCCCGCAAGTGACATTTCATTTCTATTGCATTTCATTTGCCAGAACTGGTCAAATGGTCACCTAACTTCAAAAACGGTAGAGAAGTCTAACCGCTCTGTATCCATGAGTGAATGAGGCTCTTGGTGAACATGGTTAATAATCTGCATGCCATCCTATATAAAACGGTCACCATGGATAGTCGTTTTTAGTGAAGCTCATAGTAGAGGCTAGAGAGGTACTGTGTCTTCCCAGGTCACAGAACCAGAGTGACTGTCAAGAGCGAGCTCTGGACATCAGTCAGGCAGTTGTACTTGTAAACCAAGTCCCCATGACCGGGTGACCTCTCTGGTCCCTGGTTGCTCCGTGTAAACTGACAGTCCTCATTTCTGCCACATAGAATTGTGAAGGCCACATAATCGCCTGATTCTTGGTACAGCGCCTGCCTCGTAGGTGATCCCAGATGCCAGACATTATTATTCCCGTTAAGGTAACATTTATAGTCTTATTCTGTTTTAGTTTATGAAGAGGCTGAATTTCCAAGGTCTTCAAAATTACCACTGGTGCTGTAATTATTGACATGTCCAAAGGCTTTGATCCTAGAAAGCTTTCATCATCCTAACCCCAGCACTGAGGCCGACCTGCAGATAAGCTGGTCAATGGCAAAGGCACTTGACAACTTGGAGCTTTTAATCCCAGCAACTACCTATTTATTAGAATCAATGATGTAAGGATTTATGAAATTAACTATATCAGGGACATATCCTGAAGCTTTTTTTTGTTGTTGACACTATTACAGATGTTCACCATTTCCCCCACTTTTCCCACCTCCACCCAGCCCCGCCGCCTTCCCCTGGCCTTCACACTCTGTTGTCTGTGTCCATGGGCTTGCATATATGTTCCTTGGCTCCTTTAGTTTCTTTTATCCAGTTCCCCCTCCCTCTGACCTCTGCCAGACTGTTCCACGTTCCTATGGCTCTGTTTCTCTTTTGTTCATCAGTTAATTTGTTCATTAGATTCCACAGATAAGTAATATCATATGGTATTTATCTTTCTCCGACTGGCTTATTTGTATCCTGAAGCTCTTAAGTAATTTCTCAGCATACCACATATTAGACTGAAAGTTTTCACATTGGTTTTCCCCACTAGGACATGCATGGTAAATATACAGCACAGCCCATGTTCACTCCTGGCCCTTCCAGAAGCTACTGAAATGTGAAGGAGAGCGACATTATTAGAGATGTAGTCTTGAATCTGTTCTAATGTCTAAAAAGTCTATTGGATCCAGTCTTCAGAACGTCCGGATTAGTGACAAATTACCCGTTGCCATGACACTCCATTTGAGAACTGCTGCCTTGGACACTGTACTTTCTGATAATGTGAGAACCCAGCACAAACACTGGGACCTAAGAGAGCAGTTCCCGGAGCAGCAGGCTCAGTGCCTAGGGAGTGCCATCTGTGGAGAGCACCTGGATTGTGCAGTGCGCGGCTGCGTGCTCAGAAGGGGAGCCCTCTGGGCCAGAGCCACAGAAAACTCCCTGCTCAGAGGGAGCAGCTCCCAGAGTTTGGAGTGAAACTGCGTTGCTGGATGGAGACACTAGTTCCCAGCATGCCCCATCTTCACCAAGCTTTTGGGGTACAGAGTAGGGATGGTTCTGTGGCAATGGCTGTGATTGTGATCATGGAATTCAGTACATTAATAACCAAGTTTGTCAAAGTGTACCCGAGCCCTCAATCTTTTCCAGCACACTTTAAACAGCAGAGTGTTCTGGTGGGCTGTGATAAGAGTATCACTGGTAAGACCTACACCTCTGAAGTGCATATCAGAAATGGATCTAGGTGGAAAAACTGGAGGTTTCCATTTACTGTGCATGCAATATAAATAGTATAAGCTTTAAAACCTTCTATGAAGTCCCATTGTTTAAAGCAACGTGAGGCCCTGTTTGTAATGAAATGTGGACTCTGGGTTTCCATTTCCGCCGCTGCAACCTTAAAGGAGAGAGCTGAATGATGTTCTTATCCCACTTGCCTCCTCCCTTATCTCGCTCTGAAGTCTGTCCCCAGTGGGCTGTTTCTGAGATATGGTTCCTTCTAGTGGCTCAGTTACTCACTTAGGACCCTGGGTACACGTGAATAATGCAATACTGGAGAAATGAGAGGAAAGAAAAAAATCGGGCCATAAGGAGAAAATGGGAACAGACCATGCTGAGGTAGGGCAGCCGACCCAGACCCGGATGCATTGCCCAGCATCCCCCTTCTCAGCAACCGCCATGTCCCAGATCGCCGGGAAGGCGGAGCGGCAGGTGGTTCTGTCCCAGATCGCCGGGAAGGCGGAGCGGCAGGTGGTTCTGTCCCAGATCGCCGGGAAGGCGGAGCGGCAGGTGGTTCTGTCCCCGATCGCTGGGAAGGCGGAGCGGTAGGGGGTCTGTCCGTGAGCCGGGCGGGCGGGCGGCGGGTGGCTCTGTCCGTGGGCTCCTGCCTGACTCTCCACTTGAAAACCCTCACATTAGGCCAAGTGGTAACAATGTGCAATCAGGAAAGTGAAGGGAAAGAACCAGGCAGCACAGGGCAGACCAGAGAGCTGCCCGCTTCCACCTGCGGTTGGCCGCGCACAGCTCCTCCGCGGGGCACGTGGTGTCTTGGACAGCGCAGTTCTCTCTGTGGGCCCCTGGACATGGAGCACCCAGCCCTCCAAGGTGAAAGTAGCGATCCCCTGCCATGTGACAACCAGAAACACCCCACGCTGTCAGGCCCTCCCCATGGATGCAGTCCTGCCCCTAACAACCTCTCCTAAGGGTTCATCACAGTACAGATGAGAGAGCTGCCTGTAAGAGGGGGTGCGGCATCCTGTGCACACTTGTCTTCAAGATTGGTGTCTCGGACCGACACTGACGCTGTACAGATACTATAATGGACTACTGTAATGGACATAGCCTTCTGTATCTTCTAGTGTCAGTGCTTAAACCAAAATGACATATAACTATAATATCTTCATAAACATACCATAATATTTATATCCACATGAGCTTTGTTCTTGGAACATAGCACGTGTATTTTGATGAAGCTGTCATGGCAGTAGCTAGTTATATGGAGCGCTTACCAAGTGCCCGGTGCTGTGCTTCCTGTGTATCACCTTACTCCTCACAACCTGGCGCAGGCAGTGCCTCCACTCCACACACCTGGAGGCGGCTGCGCAGCAGAAGCAGCTTCCCCAGGCGCTGGGCCTGGGTTTGCACAGAGGCCCGTCCGCGCCTGTGCTGCTAACGGCAGTGCCCAGGCATCCACAGGTCCCACACAGGATACACCCCCTGAATTCGGAAGCCAAGCAAGGATCCGGTTCAAATGGAAATAAATAAGCATCACCGTACAAAGAAATTAGCTGACTCTCAGATGACAATGAAATGAGTGCAGTTGCTGAGCCCAGGGCGCCTCACACACCCGTGGGGAGATCTGCAGCCGTGGGCTATACGGGGTGTGGCTGATGAGAAATGGCAGAGTTGTGCGCAGTGCTTCTGAAATAGCCCCATAGCGGGACGTGCAGATACAAAAGAATGAACCAAAGAGCACGTAGCTAGTACTCTGTAATGTGAAACCTATCCGGCTCCCATAAATGAGTGTCTCCCTCCCCACCCCGCCCCTGCCCCCGCGGGTGGTGGGCCCTGTAGGTGGAGCCAGGTGCCCCAGGTTGACCCTGGAATTAAGATCTTCCACTTCCCTGCTCTGGCTTCCGGATTCCAAATCAACCTCCCCTGGTGAAACCGCCTGGATTTTCCAACACTGTCTGGCACATAGAAACATCCAGATTACCTGCCATTCACTGACCCGTTCTTTTATTAACTCCCTACTGAGTTCCTTCTCTCCACTCCCTCTGGCTCTAAAATTCTTCTAACTTGGACCGACCTGAGTGTTTTCATGGATTCAGGTGGACAACTCGCTCTCAGCTGCTCTTTACCTGTGAAAGCCAGCAATGCACCCCTTCCTCCGGGGGGTCGCTGTCAGGCGGGGACAGTGCGAGCCTGCTGCTTTCCCGAGCCAAGTGGAGTTTTATGTTATTAAAGGCCCAGAAGGGTTATACTTAGGAGGAAAGGGGTGTGCCTCATTGTCTTCCCAGGAGCTGGATGGTTTCTTACCTGTTATTGGTCTTCATGGGCCTCGAGCAGTGAAGTACCTCCCGCCTCAGCTGCGGCCTCTCTAATTGTGTGGCTCTTTCCCTTTTAACATTTGATGGTGAACTTCTTCTTTCTTTTAGATGAAAGACTTTCGAAGTAAAATGCAATCAATATTTCCAGCAATTCCCAGGAACTCCCAACCCGCTGTCGAGTGGGAGGAAGCATTGAAATCCAAATGAGATGAGCATGGCGGGGAATTCCCAAACGGCTGTTACAGAGAGTGGCTTCGGAGACGCCCGGCAGCCAAGGGACTCACGGATTTCTCCTCGGGAAGACGCGCCCAGCGTGGTCTGCCCGCGGGTGGACACGGCCGGTGTGTTCACACTGTCCCTCGCTTTGCTGTAAACTTCACGTGGCGAGCCTGCGCATCTGTGTCGTTTTGGGGGGAGGGGGGGGCGTGGAGGATAAATTTTTCCCAAAGTCAGGAAGACCGTTTAAAATGATGATACGATAACTTCTCTGTGTGGAGGAGATCCCCGGGGCGTACTTCTGTGTGTGACTGTAACAGCTGAAGCCAAGTTCTGTACCTGAAAAAAGTTTCTAACAGCCTCTGATGGAAAATGCTGATAACAGGTCCCAACTGCAGCAGCACCTCGGTGTGCCTTATTGAAAGAGTTTCAGCAGGTCTTGCCTGTCAGTCGTGGCTGTTGGGACTTGGGACACTCGCTCCTGCCGCAGACTCTGCAGTGACGGCCGGGAGGACAGAGCCTGGGCAGCTGGGCGCTGCCCTCGGAGCCAGTCTGACCCGCACGTGCTCCTTATGAACCTATAGCCCCACCTGCAGCCTGTAAATGCTCCCATTGGGCAAGAGCCAGTGACAGATTACAATGACTCGGAAAGGTACAGCTGTGCTCAAATAAGGGCAAGGACATCATGGGCCTTAGACATAGTATTTTGAGAAATTGGTCCCGGGTCCCTAAACATTAACTGACAGTTTGTAGTTTTGTCTCAGTTGTTAATGTAAAAATTGCCCAATTATCGCCTACCTAAACAAGTATTTTTAACCAGAAAATTATCTGAGTGTTAAGTCTCAGTATTAATTATTTAGTACTGCCTTGCTGATGACACTGGCAAAGTCTTATATACACACCCAACCCTTTTCTGTCCTCCATGAGCTCTTACAGAAAACAGAATAATGTCTAATTGCAATTATTTTTTACTGGAGATTTAAAAATTTTAAAGAAAAAGGATATGTCAATATGTCCGGAAAAATAACCTCTGGTTGAATATCAATTGTCCAATTTCTTTATCATTGTTTAGGCCCTAATTAGCAATCAGGTTTAATAAAGTGTATTTGAAATTAATCTGTTATAATGAAATCTTTTAGTCCTAAGGAAAATTTTTAAATGAAATGTCAAGTATATAACAGTACATTTTTCTCTGCACCACATTTCCCTGTTGAAAGTGCTGCATTATTAATTAATTCTGGGATCCATCTGCAACCTGTTAAAAATCCCAGACTGAACAGAAAGGATTGTGAAGTTGATCAGGGTACGTGGAGCAGCAAAAACTCTTCACCCGTCTTTCATTTTTAACTACATCTCAGCTAAGGAAAGGTTTCTAGCTGTTGCTTCCCAACCTGCTGGGAGCTTCCCAAGTGGAACCTGGAACCAGCCCCTTTCCCGGGACAGGGAGAGACCAAAGAAAGAGGCACGCCTCCAGCGGGCAGGGGGCAGGCTTAATGAGCGGAGGAGCCTCCTTACCAGGCTGGTCTTGGCGGCCTCAAGACTGAGTAGTTTTCCAAAATTTGTCCTCCAAATCTTAACAGTCTATGTAGAGGCCCTAAGTGGACTCAGTCACATACACCACCTAGATCAGCGGTTCTCAACCTGGGGGTCGCGACCCCTTTGGGGGTCGAATGACCCTTTCACAGGGGTCACCTAAGACCATCGGAAAACACATATATAATTACATATTGTTTTGTGATTAATCACTATGCTTTAATTATGTTCAATATATAACTGAAAATACACCCTGCATATCAGATGTTTATATTACAATTCGTAACAGTAGCAAAATCACAGTCATGAAGTAGCAACGAAAATAATTTTATGGTTGGGGGTCACCACAACTTGAGGACCTGTATTAAAGGGTCGCGGCATTAGGAAGGTTGAGAACTACTGATCTAGATAGTCTCAGTGCCACATTCTGTCTCAAGGCTTCTGGGAGCCAGGAGGGCAAGCAGGGCGCACATCCCAGGGACAGGAGGGGTGGGGCGCCTCCATTGCCCGGGTCTAGCTCTCCGGCCAACCAGCAGCCACGTCTTCTCGATGACCTCCCTCAACACCAGCCTCTGAATGAATGAAGGGAAGAAAGGCTGGAACCTAATTGAACGGGCTTTTGTCCATATTATTAGTCTGAGCCTAGGTTCCCCTAATAGAATGGGAGCTACTTACAACTACTTACAGCTAGAATCTAGATTTTTATTTTCCTTAGGTGGAGAACAGCTATTGATTTTTTAAAAGCCCTCCACTGAGTGGGAGAAAATGAGAATTTCTAGCTTGTCTGGGATAATAAAAGGGAAAATCATTATCAATCTTGATTCTATTTAATACAGTGGTTCTCAACCTTGGCTGCACATTAGAATCACCTGGGAATCTTTTTAAAATCCTGGTTTCTGGGCCTCATCCTCTGGAAATTCTGTTTCTTTGTTATGGGGTGGGGCCACAACATTAGTAACAAAGAAACAGAATTTCCAGAGGATGAGGCCCAGAAATCAGGATTTTAAAAAGATTCCCAGGTGATTCTAATGTGCAGCCAAGGTTGAGAACCACTGATTTAATAGGTTCCTGCCTTGTAAGCTCCGTTAGGGCAGCAACTCCTCTCAGGGCCTTGGAAACGTGGGACAGCGCCCACTGCTGGCACCCATGGCAGCCCAGCTCTGGGAGGGCGCCAGGGGCACGGGGTGCACTCCGCCCCCAGGGCCGGCACGTGGGAGGACTGGGGGGATGAATGTCTGAATACATCTCGTGTGGCATACCTGCGTTTACAGAACCCTTCCACATGTATCGTGTGGCATGCCTGCGTTTACAGAACCCTTCCACATGTATCGTGTGGCATGCCTGCGTTTACAGAACCCTTCCACATGTACCGTGTGGCATGCCTGCGTTTACAGAACCCTTCCACATGTACCGTGTGGCATGCCTGCGTTTACAGAACCCCTTCCACATGTACCGTGTGGCATGCCTGCGTTTACAGAACCCCTTCCACATGTACCGTGTGGCAGGCCTGCGTTTACAGAACCCCTTCCACATGTACCGTGTGGCAGGCCTGCGTTTACAGAACCCCTTCCACATGTACCGTGTGGCAGGCCTGCGTTTACAGAACCCCTTCCACATGTATCGTGTGGCATGCCTGCGTTTACAGAACCCTTCCACATGTATCGTGTGGCATGCCTGCGTTTACAGAACCCTTCCACATGTACCGTGTGGCATGCCTGCGTTTACAGAACCCTTCCACATGTACCGTGTGGCAGGCCTGCGTTTACAGAACCCCTTCCACATGTACCGTGTGGCATGCCTGCGTTTGCAGAACCCTTCCACATGTATCGTGTGGCATGCCTGCGTTTGCAGAACCCTTCCACATGTATCGTGGTCCCTGAGGGGTGGCAGGGATCACATAATGATCGTGAGTCACCTCTGAGGGAAGTTTGACAGGGACAGAGTCCCTAGAATGGGCGCCAAGCTTAGGCTCGGGTTGCATTTTAAAAGCCAAGATGAAGTAACAGAGGTGAAATGGAAAGGAAAACAATCCGTGTGATGACTGTGGTATTTTTCTGCACTCGGGGCTCAGATATCAGAAGATGGAGTCATTTGTCTACTCCTCTGTACCAGAGGCATATTGTTAAATTGGTTAATGGGAAGGAAAAATGTTTCACAGATAATGTTATTCTTTATGTGAAGTACCATCTGTGTATTGAGTCCTGAATGTTCCTGGATATGGAAGAGGAAATGTTATGGAATTTCAAGTTTGCCTGTGCTGTCTTTATCTCGGGTAGAGTATGACAAACATAATCACATTTATCTCCTGGAGCATAAAGAGTTTTAATCACCCTATTAACCAGGATGACATTTTTCACCGACTTAAAAAGGAATAGAACAGACATTATCTCCCCATAAGCAATCCATTTCATGGGGGCTGAGCACTAGGAATTTTTTACAGGCTGCATAACACAAGCCATTTCCGCTCCGCGCTAAGCCAGCACTAAGGCGGCTTTCAGTGAGCATGCCGCCTACACCAGCTGAGCGTCACGCTTTATATTTAGACTCAGCCCCCCAAAGAGCTGTTAGAGAACGTGGGGTAGAGGAAACACAGTGGGCAGAGAAGGGGGGACCTCCGAGGCCTCGGGATTTATTCAACAAAGAACACCATGTGCCCTTCTATGTGACTGCTGTCCCGTAAGAATGGATCCGTGGGCTGCCTTATGATCAGAGTCAAAAAACTGGCTTCTGCACAACCTGGGAATGGCAAATAGGGCATGGGCGCTACCTCGGAAGATGCCAAACAGCCTGTCTGCACCAGAGCACGGGGCCTAATACGAGGAGGCGTGGCTGCCCAGGCCCAGCGGGGCGGAGGCCTGGCCCCGAGTGACCCGCACTCCCTCCCGCTGACGCCACCCACCTGGGGGAAAGCCGTTCTTCACCTGCTCAGTTAAAAGGTGGTGCCTGATCTCGCCCGTCAGCCTCTGCCTCATTCCATGGCTAGTCAGGGACTCAACTTGCAAATTAATCATTGCAACCTAAGGGGGAAATGTAAGAATTAGGGTGGGGGGAAGCCCATGGGGAAAAAGTAATTAAAATCCACTATTTAGCTCTTTCACTTGGGGCAAGATTTAATCTCCTAAGTTTGGTTAGGAGATCATGGAAAATGTATATTTCACCTCATTTTCATGTATTTTCCCTAAAAGTAAAACAAATAGTTAAATACAGATGAAAATCAGCCAGGTGAAATTTAGAAAAAAATTCCTCCAAATAAATTTCTCATGAAAAGTAGCAGAATACACATTTTTATAGCATTTTATCGTGTTCAAGTGAGATTTTTTTTTTCCTTTCTGCCAGGAGTCACTGAACACGTCCAGTAGTTGGGTCTCTATTGGTGTTGCCAGGATTGTCAGAGGCTGTGATTCTGAGTCTAGAGAGGAGAGCAAGTGCCTCTTGCCAGCAGAGCCATTCACCTGTAACCACGAGGGAGACTGTGGGCACATTTTGTCTGATGGCAGGTGACTGTGTTGGAGAAAGTGGGCCGCAGTGACAAGCAGCACACAGTACAGTTTCAGCTCTCCTGCCCCAGCGTCCGCGAGCGGTTTGGGTCAGAGTCCAGCCGTGGGCAAACTACGGCCCGCGGGCCGGATCCGGCCCATTTGAAATGAATAAAACTATTGAAAAAAAAGACCGTATCCTTTTATGTAATGATGTTTACTTTGAATTTATATTAGTTCATACAAACACTCCATCCATGCTTTTGTTCCGGCCCTCCGGTCCAGTTTAAGAACCCATTGTGGCCCTCGAGTCAAAAAGTTTGCCCACCCCTGGGTCAGACAGTTTGGTGAGGCACGAGCACTTACTGAAAAAGAAAACAAGGGCAGAAGGAGGCAGGAGAGGGTGTAGGTGTCCTTAATGCCAGACCAGGGGAAGCCACTCTAATGGACTCTCCTAAGAAGCGGAATCTGGCCAACAGGACCACGGCGCGGTGCGTTTATGGGACCCCTGCTACCTGCCTGTCTGAAAACACTCCCCAAACTCAGCTTCTACCCGCCAGGCTCCGAGGGGGGTCCAGGTCCGCAGCCGTCCTGCTCCTGGTGAGACTGAATTACCGCTCGCCCATGCTGACCACATTGACCTCAGCCACCCAAACTCCAGAAAATAAAAATCCCATCGGAATGATGAACACCTCGCCTCTCAGGTGGGTCCTGGATTCCCAGGGGTTTCCAACTCCCAGACCTATAGCTAGAGAGTCCAAAGATTAAAAATTCAAGCAATATTGCAATGCACGCACCAGCGCTGACCTCCTGGGCAGGAAGGAGCAGATAAAATGAAGATCCACAGAAGCACGTGCTATTCAGGGCGACCCGGAGTCCCGCCGAGGAGGTGGCAGTCTGGTGGCGGTGTGGGACCAGGCCAGGCTCCCAGATGGGGGCATCGCTAGACACAGGGCCTCCGAGGAACCCGCCACTGCCCGCGTTATCTCTGAAGCCCCACACTCAAGGGTTGTGTTGGGCGATGCCCCCCAGCAATGAGGCTCCTTCCTCATGTCGGGGGCGGAGAGTTCTATTTTGTAGGGAGAGCCCGAGTTGAAGTTCTTCTCT